ATTATGGACGCAATCAATATACTGAATGATATAGCATAGGAATTGCAATTCTTCATCAGGGATGCAGTACAAACACTTCCCAAAGAGAAGGATATTGGACAGAGCATTGCACACCATTTGAGAAAGCGCAGCTTGGAATTTCAATGGGTTGTCTGTATTTTCAACATTGAGATTCACTGTGTATTGCTTTTCTTGGCCTTCCTTGTTCTCGGCAAGCCTATTGAGGGTGAGATCTAGCATCAGGCCATCCCTGTTTTAGTGTCTGCAGCTTCTCCATGACATCTTAAGAAAGCATCCGAACAAATGGCTTTCACGGTGTAGTAGTTAATTTTTATTTCATTTGCAATGACAAACCTTGACAGCATCTTAAAAATCAGAGACATCACCTTGCCGACAAAGGTCCGCATAGTCAAAGCTATGGGTTTTCCAGTAGCGATGTATGGAAGTGAGAGAGCTGGACCATAAAGAAAGCTGACTGCCGAAGAATTGATGCTTTTGAATTGTGGTGCTGGAGGAGATTCTTGAGAGTCCCGTGGACTGCAAGGAGATCAAACCTATCCATTTTGAAGGAAATCAACCCCGAGTGCTCACTGGAAGGACAGATCCTGAAGCTTTGGCCATCTCATGAGAAGAGAACACTCCCTGGAAAAGACCCTGATGTTGGGAAACTGTGAAGGCAAGAGGAGAAGGGAACGAGAGAGGACACGATGGTTGGACAGTGTCATGGAAGCTACCAACATGACTTTGATCAAATTCCTGGAGGCAGTGGAAGACAGGAGGGCTTGGTGTTCTCTGGTCCATGGAGTCACGAAGAGTCTTAATGACTAAAGAACAAGTTAATTTTTATATAATTTATATTTTATATAAATTCTGTTTTTCATTTCTGTTGTATACCACCCAGAATAGCAATTTGCTAGATGGGTGGTATACAAATAAAAATAAAATAATAAAATAACCTCAAACCTTGCTTTTTAAAACCTCATGCTTGAAGGACAGAACTGTTGTCTCAGAGGCCCAGAATAATTTTGATTTTGGCTTTTAGTTGACCTCATGCAGGTATGGGTTTGGGAATTTATCTTATGTCCAGCATAGCTGTCTGATTTATGGTCACCCTGGACAAATTTATATCTAACAGAACCAAATTCTCTCACTCTTTCTGTGTGTGCCTTCAAGTCGATAAGTTCATTCTGACTTAAGGAGACCATTTCCAGGACTTTTCACGTAGTGAGTACTCAAAGTTGGCTTACTATTCCCTTCTCAGGGGACGCCCTGGGACTGTGAAGTCTGCCCAAGGCTACATAGGCTGTCTGTTTTGGATGTACGGGGGGGAATCAAACTCCCAATCTCTGGCTCCTCAGCCAGGTGCCTAAACCATTGAGCTATTCAGACAGTGTTTCTTCGACTAAAGTTTGCAAATTCTCTACTTCAATGGACCTACTCTAGTTGTGCCTTACTACTGGAGTTCAGCAGCTTAAGTCAGATGCAAATCAAATTGCTCTAGATGAAACTGGGATACATTCCATAGTGCTAAATTAGCTTCTACATCGGATCAGAGATGCATGCACAGACCTAATCATAATGTTGCTTTCCATTGTTTTATTTCTTTTGGAAGATATCTTTATTACATACTTTGGAGTTTAAAAAAAAGAAGAAGAAAAATTTATGTCTTGTCTTAAGAGTATGTTTTTGATCTCCTTGCATATAAATGAAAAATATTAGAGGGTTCCAAATATCTGCACTAATGTGAGGTGTGGGAAATCTTGATTTAATCAACAGAGGGGTCTGTGATAAAGCAAGGCTGTGTCCTGGTGAGCCTTGTTAATATATTGCTAGCACATGCTGACATTTTATGAGCTTTTAGGATATATAAAGCTCTGTATATCATCAGAAGATGTTATTTTATTTTATTTTGTCACATTTTCATTACAGACACTTGGAAAAAGTCCCACTTAAAGGCATTCAGCAATTTTCTTCATCCATGTATTAAACATAATATCGATTGAAAATACAAAAAAAGCTATTTGCAATAACAAAGTCATTTAAACCATTAGCAGGTTTCACACTACAGGAGTTTCCCTGGACAAATGTTTAACAACAAGCAAAACTGATCCAAGATTTCTTGGTGCCTCTGACGGAGTAGCAGATTCTAGCAGCTAAACGAGTGGCACTAATCCATCAGTTTGCAGGAGTCAAACATTGCAGAAAGTGAAATATAAGGACAAAAGTATAACTGCATTTAATCAGTTATTATTTCCCATTTATGTAGTGTGCTATATCCCATCTTCCACTGGTACTCTAGAACAGGTTTACTAGAAATTTATAATGCAACACTACCCCCATAGATAGGATGATTGCAGAAGAATTACTTTCCTTTAATGCCGACAGCGAAGAAATCAAAATGGCTAAAGATTTCATAATACTTGGGTCGGATATCAATCCAAATCAAGGTTGCAGAAATCAGAAGAAGACAGGGTGCAGTCACATGTGCCAGTTCTATTGATTCTGCTGTTATTGAAATCATATTATAAATTTCCATTCACACAATGCACAGATAACATTGGTTCATTCGGCCAGCCAATTGTTTTTTTTCCCCACCTCGCTGGCATGGCTTTTTAAAAATGATCCGATCCCTGTATCATTTCAATCCTTATTATTTCAGTGTGTGTGAACATTGCTGTCAATTTATTTATTTTGTGAACAGGTTGGGTTGGGGGGCGCCATGGCCAACAGGCTTGTACAATTTTTTTTTCATTTACAAAAAATACTAAGTAATAAATTGCTTACTGTTTCTTTCATACTTTTTCTCCACAACAATTTACCGATGGAGCACTTAGCTGATGTCTTCCTTACTGTACCCATTGTCAATGCTTTTATCTGTCTGATCGTTAATTCCCCCCACTAGCTTTTTCAACAACAATTCAAGTCCCTTTTAATGCTGCCCTACATTTATTTAGTGACATATCCCATCAGGTGGCACATTGGATAACAGTTGGAAAATGACATAGATATATATGCCATTTTTGTGATATGTACTTAAATTATTATTTTTTAAATAAAATTTTAGAGTAGCGGGGATCCTGAAAGAAGGATGGAAAATAAATCAATTTATTTGAAATGGCATGTGAAGCCAACAGAGCACGTACAAATAGCAAGAAATATACTGATTGAACTGATAACCATGTGAATGGGCCCAGAGATATATATACCACATGACTTTACATACAAATGTATTTGTATTAAAAAGGGAGGAGAAAGAAACAATTCAGTGTTTTGTGTGATTAGGCCTTGAGACTTGGAAGGGCAGTTGTGAAGGTAGTAGATGAAATCATCAAGAGTAAGGATGTGTTAGTGGACACCAAGGCCAAGATCATCCGCGAAAACTCTTTCTGGCAAAACCCTTTGTGGGCTGCAGTCCCCTTTCTGCATCTGAAGTGATAAGCTGCACTCACAAAAGTTTCTGCTAAAAAAAGCTTTTCAATCTTTAAGATTCTATAAAACTCTTAGTTTATTTTGCTGCATCAGGGAACAAACCAAACCAGACAGAAAACTTGCCAGGCCAGTAAATCCATTCCTGGTAAGACAGCCCCATGACACAGTAGTTAAATTGCAGTAGTGCAGTCAAGACTCTGCTCACCACTCAACTCCAGATTGATAAATCCATTCCTGGTGTTTATAATTTCTACAAAATTTGGTCTGACAGCCTAATGCGAGCCTGTATAATCTGCAGGAGCCTGTATGACCACTGAAGAAGGAGATACCAATTTTTGGAACAGATAGGCAAAGAATAATTCTACTGGTAATATCACAATGGATTCCTAGTGTGGTATTACCACTAGTGGAGAGAGGTGGTGGATGAGGAGTTGCAGTGGATAGAGTGATGGACTTGTTGAGATTTTGATATGAAAATGTATTGAATATTAATGTTGTATAGATAAAGGTTCCCTTTGACATTTAGTCCAGTCGTGTCCGACTCTAGGGAGTGGTGCTCATCTCTGTCTCCAAGCCATAGAGCCAGCGTTTGTCCAAAGACAGTTTCCGTGGTCACATGGCCAGCGCGACTAGACATGGAACGCTGTTACCCTCCCACCGTGGTGGTACCTATTTATCTACTTGTATTTTTACATGCTTTCGAACTGCAGGAGCTGGGACAAGCTACAGGAGCTCACACCATCGTGTGGATTCGATCTTACGACTGCTGGTCTTCTGACCGTACAGCACAGAAGCTTCTGTGGTTTAACCCGCAGCACCACCACGTCCATGTACAGCTTAATGTTGTATAGTTAAATGCAAAATGGCTGATTTTACCTGAGTCCCTGTACTGATTGTATTCAGGTGTGGGTATCAAGGATTAAGACTTAATGTTGTACAGCTGTGGTACATGAATGAAACTTTGTGTAACAGAAAATGAAGTAATGTATTTTCTGATTGGTCACAGAACTGTACATAAGTCATGTGTACATAAGAACTGTACATAACTGGTCACAGAACTGTACATAAGTTTTTATTTGCTGTAAGTCAGATCACTTTTTCCTATGCTGTGTGTTGCTTCATGTCATGTTGTGCTGCAAGAGGAATGTCTATTCTCTATGTATATATGCAAATAGACTAAGTTGTTGGTTTTACTCTCTCAGTGTCATACAGTAGTGTCATAAGTATCTCTGCTAACCAATATCCCTTTACTCTGCTGATGTCATGAGAATACACATTATAATCAAAATTCTCAACAAGACTAGGACTCTGGAGGACAGGGTTAGAATCCCAACTCAGTCATGGAAACTGATTGGGGGAATGGAACTGGTAAAACCATCCCATAAATATCTCACTTACCTTCCCATAAATATCTCACTTACTGTACCTTACCTTGAAAGTTCTATTAGGGTTGCTATAAGCTGGCTATGACTTGACAGTACAGAACACACACAAAAACAAGCACACACACAAAATACAATTTTGGTGAATATTGTTTGCTTTATTGGACCATTATCCTTCTTATTTACTAGGCGGCAGCTTCGAATGAACCAAGTAGAGGGGCAGCACACGAAAATCAGGATAAAACAAACCAGTCTTCTGATAACCATTCCATGGATGAAGCTACAAAAGTAAGTTCCCTGGCTGTGTTCTTTATAGCCTTGATGATGTAACAAGGTAGGAAAAGAATAATTTCGGAGTACTGCCAACTGCGCAGGATCTTTGAGGTGGTGAGTCTTGTTCAGGTCTAGGCTTGGAAATGAGGAAAAGGTCATCAGGAAAACTAGAAACGGACACACACACATACACTCCAAAAATATGGGGCAGAATTTATAGGACTGGTGATGGAATGGTATAAAATCATCTGCAATGTGGAGAAAATGTGGACAGAGATTTTCCTCTCTTTTCCATTTTAGCTGGAATGCAGAGCCATTCAGTGAAATTTATTGCCAATAAATCTAGGACTTTTGCACCCAACGCGTAATCCATTAATTTTTGTTGCAGCAAATATAACACCTAGCAGTTAATTAATTAGCCATTAATAAGATTAATTAGAAGTAATAAATACTGTTTTATACTGCTTGGTTCCAGAAATTGTTCTGGCAGGCATGGGTTTTGATGGCTTTCAAAGGGGATTTAGACAAATTTCATGGATTTCCTTTCATTATCCATGTCCCACTTTACACATTTTGAAACTCCAGAAAGCATACACTGCTTCTCAAATTGTTTCTGCTTAGCTCTGGCAAGGGAACATGTCTGGAATGTTCTCTGTTTCCAGAATTAATCCCTGCACTCAGGACTAGAAACTTGTAGAACCATCAGAAGAGGTGGTGACAATGGCAGGCCCCTAGATTAGTGAAAAATTAGAGGAAGCTGGGGCTTCTGCAGACTGATAGGAGAGCCCTGTGACACAGTGGTTAAACTTCAGTATTGCAGTCAAGACTCTGCTCACGATCGGTGTCCAGTCCTGACGGATTCAGATAGCTGACTCATGCTTGACTCAGACTTCCATCCATTTGCGGTTGGTAAAATGTGCACCCAATTTGCTGGGGGAAAAATGTTGTGTGCATAATTATGTTGTAAACCATCCAGAGAATGCTGTAGCACTATGGGGACTATATAAGCTGAAACAACAACAAGAAGGGTTGATCTGTTGATTGTAATAAAGGATGTGTGCATGGGTGCTGCACCCCAAATTTTTGTTGGAAAAGGAACAACTGCGGCTTCTGTTATGAACCACTTATGGAGAGAACAAGCTATAAGCCCTTTCTTAATAGAATTCTTCAAGGTACAGGGACTCTTGTCAGATTAAATGTTGGCGCCCCTTGGTGAAAACATTAATTTACAAGGCAGTATTATTTTGCAGTTGCTCTTTTCGTTTTCTTCCAGCAGCAAATTATGACTTAGTTTCCAGGTAACTGGAACAGAAGACTGAATGCTTTTGGGAAGCTAGATTAGTTTTGTATTGACAAAGTAATGATAGTTGTAGCTGCGTGCAGCTCAACACCGAAGGGGAACGGAGAAATGTCTTAACATTGTTAATTTTCTTTGTTTCTTTGTTACAGTTCTCCTTTGTAATAAATAATAGCGTTCCAACTGGCTGGGACAAAGTTAAGAGTGTCATGGTTTCCATTATGATAACGCGAGCAACATTTTTGCAGGTTTAAAATTTAGTGGTGACAATATTCTTAGTTTTTGCCTACGAGTGTAAATGGTTATGGAAGCTTTTCAGATCCCGATTGTTTCACTCCCCCCGCAGCTGCCCTTAAAGAAAAAGAGAAAAAAATTGTGGATTACCCCTTTCAACATTCTCAAGCTGGAAATTAAAAAGGGAATAAAATTGAAGCTGATTGGGGTTGGAATGGTTCTTAGGCTTCTGAAATGTCTATACCACCCACCTACCCTTTTTAAAACAATACTACTCTGGAAAAGGTAAGTTGTTATTTTTCCTTTCAAGCCAACATAAACGTGCACAAGCGTAAAAGATAATCATCTTGGCATTCAACACTTTCACAATGCAGAGGGAAATATTGTCCAAAAGCAAGCAATGAGGCAACCCCTGCATGACTTGTAGAAAGCTAGCATGTCAAGAAAATAGTCTGCAGAAAGCTAGAATATTAAACATCACAAATAACTTCCTGAAAGTATGAGCCGTTTGCTAATGGAATGAACTGCCTCAGGAGGTGGTCTTCTAAACAAAGACTGTGTTCAGGTTTTTTCAGCTTTCCATATTGCCTTAGTAGGTTTGGCTGGAAGGGACCTTTCTGGGCTGAGGTGATGGTCAATCTATCCAGCAGTAGCTAAGCGTTCCTTTCCTACCTCTATATTCAAAGAGAAGCCCCACTTATCTGCTGTGTCTGCTTCCATTTCCCTCTTTTTAGTCTGTTGGAATAAGTGTGTGTGTTTGTTAGGTTCCTGTTGATCTATTCATGACTGTAAGTAATGAATCATTTTTATTCTATCTATTTATTTATTTATTTCTGCTAATGTCTCAGTGAGTTATTGAGACTGCAAGTGCCAGTTAATGAGAAAGTTATTCTCTTCTGATGAAGCTATTTTCTGTGCATCTCTGTACTTCTGCTGTGTAAAAAAAAAAACAAACCAGAAATTCAAAACTCTGCAACAGATTGGATTGTCATCTATAAATTTCTAAGTTAAGCTCAGGGCTGGACACAGAGAGCTTTCGGGTCCCTTCCAGATTTTACAGTTCTATATTTTTGTGATTCTATATGAAGAATGAAAAGCGTAATAGCGTCATTTCCCCCCTGATCTGCTGGTTAGAAGTGCAGACATTCCTTGCAAAAACTGGATCTTAGAATCATAGAAAAGTGAAGTTGGAAGGGGCCTTCAAGGCCAACAAGTCCAACCCCCTGCTCAACGCAGGAATACAATTAAAGCATTCAGAGATTTCATTTTTCAGTGACTACTGATATTCTTGTGATACTCAGTGTATGGATAGAGTGATGGACTAGGACTCAGAAATCTGAGTCCAAATACCTGTTTGGTTGTAGACATTCACTGTGTATGTGTGTGGGTAACAGATAAAACCACTCCTTAAGCATCTCACTTGCCATGAAATCTCTATTAGGGTTGCTCTAAGTGGGTTCCGACTTGATGGCACGTAATACATAACATTTACATCCTTAGTTTTAATTTCTGACTCTTTTATTTCAGCTCTAACCTCTGCCCTTTTGATAAACTATTTAGAACTTTTAAGCTAGGCAACTTTTCCGTCGTGTCATAAGGAGGGGATTTGTTCACTTTTTACAGGGTTTCTAAGAAAAAAAAACTGAAATATTTGAATATTTCATATTCAGAAATAAATTGGATTGAGTTCAGTGGAGTTCATGTAGGAACTCACCACCTCAATCGTATTTTATTTTGTACCTTTCCAGTTATTACAACTAGAGCTGTCTTCTTTGTATTGAGGATCTTCTGCCCTGGGCAATAAAAATATCTGAGACTTTGTTCCTGAACCCATTTTGTTGCAGACAGACATTTGCACAGTGCAGTTTTTCCTATAAGCAACCCATGCTCTGAAAATATATACTCTATAGATTTGAAATATGCATATAAAGCCTATAGCCCCATAGATCCCAGGGAGTATTACATAAAGAATAATCAGTTGTCTGGCATCTCCAACTCCTGTACAACAGTGTCTTTACTTGCAATCTAAACTCTTACGTATTAGTGCAAACTTGCAATCTAAACTCATGTGTATGAGTGTAGGAGGCAAGAGAACATTGCTTGGAAAGATATAGAATGACATTGTTGAGGACTAGGTGCCACCAGTAGAAAGGTCCTGTGTTGTATTTCCATCTGCAAAATATTAGGCAGCAGAGAAATAGATTTCGGGGCTGGGCTGGGCTCCAAGGGTGATAAAATTGTGATATGTATCTTAGAAAGCATCCTTAAAATTTTCCTGGCACCAGACAGACTGTGCGTGTGACAGAAACAGACACAGAGAGACATGGGTAGGGGGGGATTAAATAAGAAAAATTGTGTATCAGAATTTGGTACGCTCTCCTCCTACCTGAAAGAGAGTATGGCTTAATAAGAAGCTGACAGCACATACCAGGATCCAAGTCTATAGAACCTGTGTCTTGAGTATACTCCTGTATTGCAGTGAGTCCTTGACCCTTTGTGCACGACAGGAGAGGAAGCTGAACACGTTCCACATGCATTGTCTCCGAAGTATTTTTGGCATCACCTGGCAGGACAAAGTTCCAAATACAGTAGTCCTGGAATGAGCTGGAATTTTTAGCGTGTATAAATTACTGAACCAGCGATATCTGTGTTGGCTCGGGCATGTCATGAGAAGTGTATAAATTACTGAAACAGCGATATCTGTGTTGGCTCTGGCATGTCATGAGAATGGCTGACGGTCAGATTCCAAAAAATCTCCTGTATGGAGAATGAGGGCAGGGAAAGCGCCCCAGAGGGAGACCACAGCTGCGATACAAGGAGATCTGCAAGTGGGATCTGAAGGCCTTAGGAATGGACCTCAACAGATGGGAAACCTTGACATCTGAGCATTCAGCCTGGAGACAGGCGGTGCATCACGGCCTCTCCCAATTTGAAGAGACCCTTGTCCGGCAGGCCGAGGCAAAGAGGCAGTCACGAAAGCAGTCAAATCAGGGAGCTGGACAGGGGACAAATTGTATTTGTCTTCAGTGTGGAAGGGATGGTCACTCTCGAATTGGCCTTCTCAGCCTCACTAGATGCTGTTCCAAGTCCTCCATACAGAGCATGTTACCGTAGTCCCTCGAGACTGAAGGATGCCTAATCTAATCTCCTACCTTCTTTTTTTTCTTGCTCTTTCAAATTTATCCTCTCAGACCAAAAGATAATCTGTTTAGGGGAATGGGTGAAGTGGTGACACTGAAAAGTTGAATTGATAGATATGAGAGAGGATTCATAATTTATCTTTCCTAGGTCTCCCTCTTTTTAAATCTTCCCCATATCCTGATCATCTGGTCAAAGGTGTCATGGGGAAAATACATTTGCTAAAAGAAAGTCTAGTTTGGTCAAATATTGGATTGATTAGTCTGCTTTGTTTAGGAAAAAAGTGTATCCCCACTTTTTTTTTAAAAAAAGCCTTTTGAAATATCATAAATCTACACAATGTATAATTTTTTAAAACTTCACATTACAATAAAAGGGTTCAAATATGCAAAATCAGTTTTGGTCAGAATTCTGTCAGTGTTCATATAAGGTTTGCATAAAATCCCCATGGGATTTAATTAACCAGTTAATTGGTGAAATCCATGGTGGATTTTATATGTGCATTTGGGCACACAACTGAGATACAGCTAAGCATGCCATGAGTTAGGGACAATTGGTTATGGCGTATTATGCAAACCTAACACAAAGACCAGTAGGATTGTGAATTTCATGTATTAAAACCCAGAGCAGGATAGAATAATTCTGCATTACAGTA